AAAGACGATCGAAAGCTTCTCCTTCGACAGTCAATATGGATTCCACGAGGACGATGCGAGAACGATGAGCAAACTAATCTAGGCGCAGGACAAGTACCGCCGGAGTAATCGGAATGCGATCCAGCTCCAGAACCAATAAAGCGAAAATTAAAACTAACCTCCACATTTTATTTTAAAAAAAATTAAAGAACATATATAAGCGATTGACGTAAAGGCAGTGTGTAAACAAAAACTTTAAATCTCTTACTTGAAATTATGAAGTTAAATATCAAACGAAAACCAAAGTTATTCAACAACCTTGCCAACTTCATTTGAACTATCGGCTTCTGTAGACTGTGAAGAACTCGCTGTATTAAAAGTCATACGATTACCAAAAAGTCGCGATACCAACCTTCTAGGCTGTCCTTTAATAATTAAAATTCTATACTTTGTGAACGAAAAAACTGCCTAAAGTGAATGGCTTAACATATTATTTGTTGCAAAAACATAGCAGCTTTTGCAACAATTGAAAATCTGTGACTCTGAAGTGAATATGTTCTCCTACCTTTTAAGAGCTATTGAAAAACTTACATCACATATTTAAATTTTAGCAAATGATTTACTAAACATAAAAAGCTAAGCAAAACCAACCCGGTGTTTGTCCTGATGAGCAGTTAGTCAAATCTTCATTTACATTATCTGCAATATCAATGTTTTGAATGTTGAGCAAGATTACAAACACAGTTAATTCACAAAAAAAAAAAATAGAAAAGAATATGGATCGTTCCTGTACAAAATCATGTATATCAATAAAATAAGCAATTACATTCATCAGAACAGCGAAAAAAGATAAGTAATGAGTATATTTCATAGGCCAAAATCTAATTTATATACATATTGTTATTCTGCAGAAAAACATATGTACACACATGATGATAAGCGAAAACTCAATGTTCCAAAAGATCATCGATGGTCGAACCTTGAAGAGGACGGCGCCTACTGCGTGTACCATTATCTGAGACTCCCACAATTATTTGTGATCGATAAAGAGCGGCTCGTAATAAGATGTCCATAATATTGTCGCTCATGATATCTCCAGCCTCCAGAATCCTTCAAAATTTTTGTTAATAACTTGAAAGTTTATAATCTACTAAAAATAACATTTTCGACTCAGTATTACATGAAAATACAGCTACAACTACGACCCAAATTTTGAAATGTCACCATTATAAAAAAGTGAAACACACCCATTATAAGAAGTCCTGACTTCCTCTTCGTTTTTGGAGTATAATTTTTTATGAAATGAGTCAATCCTCGCAAAAATTTCATTTTTTTCAATCAATAAAAAAAGTTCATTTTCCAGCTGAAACAATGCTCTAAATTTCTTGCAATGTACGGCTTACAGACACGAAAATAATTTAAGGTGATTACAATAATTATTAAAAATATAAGCCTAATGAAGTACACAAATCTTCTAGTAAAAAAAATTGTAGACGTGAAGAAGACTTTGTCATTACAAACCAGATATTGCTAACAACTTTAAAAAATGACACAAAGCAAGGATTTCTTGTTCACATAAACTGCGTGCTGAACATGTTCATGTAGTAAAAAACTACCAGAAAAAGTTCTGAAGAATAAAAATATAAGACTTATTAGAAGGTATAAGTTTTAACTTACGTGACCTGTAAAAATCATATAACACACAAGAAATTGTTTACTTTGGTCAATATAAACTTGAGTCAATAAACGATAATACCTCGTCAACATGTACCCTGAAAATCATAGCCATTTTCTCCATATCAGCAACTGCATATGGTGTAAAGTATAAAATAATAGCTCTTCGTCGAATCAAATTATAAAGTTCTTTCACGTGGGACCAGATATGCATATTCAAAAGAAGATGATCTTTAATCTAAAAGTAAGATGACTTGATGATTATTATGCAATTTCAACAGGTAAAAAGCAATGTATTTAGTAAATTCTGAAATTTATTTCTAAACCGTAATACTAACTTCCAAAATCATTTCTCCCGCTCCTGTTAAATTAAATTTAACATGAAAATTTCTTAACACCTTTTTCATCACAACTTTCCAATTTTCAAAATTACATAGAATTTGGCTCGAAAATTTGATGCAATAATCCATTTAGGAGTATAACTCCAAAGATGAAGCATGAGATTTCCAGATATATTTTGATTCTAGCATTCAGATTATGACTAACCATTTTTTGAATTGCTTTAATCTTCTTAAACGGAATTATAACTGATTAAAAAAATCATTGGCGAGATGTTACAAAGAAGTCTAAACCACACCTCATCCAAAATATCAAAACAAATCCCAAATTGACTTTTCACAAAATTTTGGAGTATTTCAATTAGTTTTGGCTCGTTTTCCAGAAATTTATGAAAGGCCAAGCTTCCCAGAACTTTATCCTTGAGTTCAGAACGACTAAATGTAGCTAAAGCACAAACTGTACCACACAAAGCAACATCTTTAGTAGCGAGTAAAGAGGGATAATAGAAATGATCAAAATCAATCTGAAAAGTAGTAAGATAAAAGTTATATGGAATATTAAGTTTTAGAAAAAATTTATATTATTTGATGAGTAAACTAATGTTACAGGAGTGATTCCCCAAACAAACAAAGACTAAGCTACTGATATTGAAGTACAAAATATAAAAGCCTTCAAAATACCTTTAAACATCTTTCTGCTGCCTGCCTATAATTTTTCATATTTAAGTAATTTAAAGTCGCAATTGCCCCAACTTTTGCTTTTGCAGTACTGATTATCCCTTTAATGTTTTTCGCAGCTGCACTGGTAGAATTTGCAGCTAAACGACCCGGCCGACTAGTAGATGTTGCTGCCACAGTCTCAGCTTCTATCGCTTCATCTGCAAAATAATTACTATCGAAAATAATTAATGCAAAAAGAAAATGCAAATTTCAGTTAACACCACAATTACAACTGAGGGCTTTCTTAAATGTTTGCAATCTCTAACAACTTTAGTGAGGTAATATATGTGAAATAGTCACTCAGGGCTCTTTCAATTTGATTTAGAAGAGGATCTACGCGATGCCAATGATCGAGATGTATTGTAACTTCAATCCAATCTATCAACATCTGGAAATTGACAAAGCTGAAGCAGAATGAAAATATAATGTTAATTGTAATAATCCACAAAAATCAGTTCGAATGTCAAGGTTAACATAATTCGAAAAATTAAGAACTTCAAAGCAATTTAGACCGAAATATACCACCATCTTTCATTAAAGTGAAACCCATGCAACCATATATCGTGTAATAACAAAATACGCATTTCTAAATCATTACATTAACTGTTTAAAGAAAAGTGCAACTAACATATAATCATACTGCAAAAAATAGAAAACATTAGCGGAAGTACGAGCTCTAATAAATAACTTTAAATAAACAAACTAAAACCTCGATGACATGCTTCGGTGAAGTACAATATTCTCTCATAGCACGACTGTAGAGCTTAATAGCATCTTGCAACTGTCCCATTGAAACATAGTGTTCAAAAAGTTCATGCATGGTATGACGCACAGCTTCCTGAACGTTTTCACTGATATTTAAAAACACAGAATACTTATGACATTTTAACAAGAATACATACCTCAAATTCTCAAAAATTTGGCATTCTAGAAGTTCCATTTCTTATCAAAAAACTCAACGTCGAACCTTTAAGCCATCTTCTTTTTGCCTTTTAAAATCAGTCATAAGCATATCTAAGCGAGCTTGTGATTTTGTCGCTACAGTATCTATCCATTGAGAATCCAAACGAGGTAAATCATCCGTCGTACTCGCAGAAGCCCCATCTTCAGACGGGACTGCCCGTAATGCTTCCAAACGGTGATGAGTAGCTAGATATACTTGCACACTTGAAGTATTCTGCAAACTAAAACAATTGTCTTGTTTCGAGTTAATAATCTCTATTTTATTAATTACTACCAGCAAAAATTTAGAGAATACAAGAAAACAATTTCCAATATAACGAAAATTAAAACTGAAATCCAGCCACAAAATGTACCTGCACAACATAATTAATAAGCATTATTAACGCTTCTCTTTGCAATGCAGGACAACAATTTGCAATAAACAGTAATTGCTTGATCAATCCGTAACCTATAAATTTTTATTTAGAGTGCTAAACTTTAACATGTAATGAGCTGTCTTTGAAAAGTGGGTAACTTTGAAAAAGACAAATAAGTATGGAATATCTTAAAACTGATTATGGCAACATGAAACTCTATGAATTTTAGCATTGCTGTCAGTTTAATACCAAAAAGCTAAAACTTTATTTAAAATGGACTATTAATTATGAGACCGTATACAAATTGAAGGACTTTATAGCAGGCACTGATAATTCTTCAAATTAAACAATTTTCGAAATTGTATAGCATCCTTTAAAAAAAGAAAATGAAGCTTATCATAAAAATGACCTTCATAACTGCTTCGAATGACATCAAGATCAAAAGGTTTTGAATTGACGACATTTCCAGTAAGAGCCATTAACAGGGATACATCTTGGACAGCACCACCTTGAACATAACATTCTTGTTTATAATTTTAGTTCACAAGCAATTGCAGTTTATCTAAATTATCTTTAGAAACTTTTTGAATAGGCAGTATAGGTCACAATTAAGTGAATGTTATTAAAATGATATAAATAACGAGTAACAGAAGCCTGAGAGAACTTGCCACTAGCACCAGGAAGTAACAACGAAGCTCTTGGTTGACTAACGAATTCATCATCAACTTCATTTGCATTATTCATCTCAAAATCGGTATCATCCATAGGCTCATCCACATGAGTATCTAATACTTCGTCTGGATTCAATATTGACATCTTTCTTCAGTTATGTGATAGATTGTCCCTAGATCATAAGAGAAACCAAACATTTGCAATAAAAATAATACACTAAAACATACGAAAAGCAACGAAATATGACGAAGAAATAAAATAACAGGTAATGAATTTAATAAAAATAAATAATTTAAATGATACTACAAAATATTGCTGATAATATTAAAGAGAAGTAATCAATAATTAACTAACTTCTATCCTAACATGAAGCAACCAAAAATGTCACATTTAAATTTCAAATTTCGTATAATTTTCGTCCATTACATAAATAAAACAAGCAGATTCTGTCATGTTCATGAATACCAAATCATTGCACATGAAATAACAGCCTTGTGCCAAGCGATAAAAATAAGTAGCACACTTCTTCTCCCACAAACAATTCACACAAATAGATACATCTACTCGCACAAACCATATCGCTATGTTTCAAACAAGTTTTGGTTTATACTTATTTAGGAGTAGTATGAAAATTCTCATCTTAATAGCATCCATGCTTGTTCTTGAAGAATTGCAATTTATATCATTCACTTTAGGAATTAGAAGTTTTCATATTGCTTTCAGCACCTTAATTATTTATCTATATTTTGAAACAAGAATAGATGTAAAAGATTAGCAATGGATGGAAATTAAATTTTGAATGAAAATTTTTTTTAAATGAATTATGTTCAATGGAATAAGTTAAAGGTAGTATTTTACTACCCGGTTTTAGAAATAAAAAATATCATTATATATGGAAAATATATTTAGAAGGATGAAGAAATGCTTAATAGTTTAATAGTTCATAAGAATTTTACACGTGTAGTAAGTGGTATTGAAATGGATATAATGCAAGGATTTTTTTAAGTCTTCAAATACTAAACAAATTTTAAGTGAGTGACATTTATTATTTTTATATTTCTTCAGTTCAGAATAAAATAGTAAAAATCGTTTTTCAAATTTGTTTCATAGTGCATTTTTCATATTAAGTAATTGAATTTTAAGATTTGTTTTCAATGGTAGAAAATTTATCGGTATCAAGTGATTAAAATCAAAATAGCTGTGAAAAATGCTTACACTTCACATATGTTTACAGTTAATAAATTTATTAATTGAAGGTTATTTAATATGGAAGGAACCAGTAACACTCAAGCTGGTTCAAAAAGAGGTATGAATAATGATGGTCAAGTGAGTAGAGGAGCAAAACGACGTCATTTCAAGAAAGATCAGCTAAAGGAAGATGTCTGTAATAAGTTGTTTCATTTTTATTGTGTAATTATGATTTTGCAATACCATGTATTATTTTGATTTGTAAATGCAGTAATAAGCTTTGCATTTTTTTTGGAACTTTACAATTAATTTTCTATCAGCTTATTAAATATTTTAGCCTGTAAATTTGGAGAAAAAAGAAGATGTTTCTGCTCGAGTCTGCAATCGAGAAGAGAACGACATTATAGTACCCAAATACATTTTAAATGATGTGGCTCGATTTTACGAAGATGTCATGGGTCGTTATAAAGTTATGATTGATGTAGAGGGCCTTGTGCGTATCATCATTTCAACATTTTCGTTAAATGTGTAAAATTTAATTTTTTGAATCATTTTGTTTGGAAAAGTTTGCTCTAAATTGCAGTTAAAAATAGCAATGCTTCTTTAGCATGCATTTTTCATTTCAGAAATTGTACCGCAAAATGTTGAACGAAGAACCGCGGAAGAAATACGTAGTGAGTTTCAAGTAATTGTATTTTTTTGTACACTTAAATGATGTGCTAGTTTTTGACGCTCATTACGTTCGAAAGCATTATGATTTCTGTTAAAAAATTTCTAAAATGTGAAGATATTTTAAAAATTTTGAAAATTATGCTAAACAATATTACAAATAATTTGTTGCCATCATTTTTTGTGTTATTGTAAAATGAGTGCTTATTATTCATACGCTAAGTCATGGAATTATCATGAAGCTTGCGTATTTAATTTGATTGAATTTCTTTCATGAGTGAGGCAGAATCCGTTTTAATATCTTTTCATATTTTATTCTAGACGGTAACCGAAGTACAGCCTTTGAATTTGAAACCAATTCAAGAACAACCAACAAACTTCACATTACGATCAGCAATGAATACAATCTTACAGAAGTGCCCATCAAAATGTTTAGAAGCTGTTATGAGCACACCGAAAATGCAGTATTGGACGCTTACTGAATGCAATATTATGGCTAGTTGTTGCTACTTTTAGATGTCTAGTTCATTATGATGAGATAAAAATTTTTAATATATCTTACCATATTCACCAAGCAGTGGTTGCTCATTCTTGAGATAAAAATCAATTTATATTAAAGTGTGAGGATGAGCGGACGCTTTCGCACATACCTTTCTTAGGTGATTGTGGCGATGATGACGACGGCGATGTCAGTTTTGGAGAGGAATTAATGAAAACTTTTCAAGAAGTAAATATTTTGAATTCGTTATTATTTCAAATTCAATACTTTTCTCGATGGCTTTTTTGTTCAAAATAATATTTATAAAATTATTTAAAGGGTATACATGGTACGAAGGTTGGTTATGGGTCATTTATCAACGATCATATACTCTATCAGGTTTTGAAAAAACTATTCGAGAAGCATTCAAATATTGGTATTTATAATTGTTGTACAGATATTTAGTTGATGCATAGATATTTAAAGCATAATATTATAGTTAATGTTCTAAACGCTAATTCACATTTTACGTAACGAAAGTCATTTGTTTGCGACAAAGCTTTCATATCATCTTCAAAACAAGTGAGAATGTTCATGAGATCATGCAATTCACTTAGTTGTAATCGATGTTTCATGATCTTGAAAGGAAAAATTTGGTTTCAAAATGTGATTATGAATTTATCATGCATAGAAATTTAGCTGATAATGTGATATACAAAGCAGTTTACGAGCAGTTTCCAAACAAGGCTTCAATCCAGCAACTTCCGTTCCTGTAAGTTTTATTCTTCCTTGTGTTTCTTATTATTCACAATCTTTTATATTATTACCGTTAATTTTTCGTTTTATTATCCTAGATTTGAAGATCTAAAACGTCGTTTTGGTCCACCAGATTTATTTACCGATGATAGCAGTCAATCTGAGTATTTGGATACAAGAGCTCTTCATTCTTTTCAGTTGCTTTTGTGCAGTCGCTGTCTCACTTATGATTGCCTAATTCATGGTCCTTTTTTTCATATAACATCTTTATAGTGTAACAGAAACTTAAAACTTTTACTTATACAATATATCGTCTTGATTTTTATCTTGTGATATTTTTGGCACTAATAACTCTTTGATCGCTTAAAACTTTTATAGTTTGATTTTATCATAGTAATGTTTCAGGCGTAAACTCATCGGAGACTGAGGTCCGACGGCGTCGAGGAATAACAAATGTTGAACCATGTGGTTCGCAATGCTTCAAACATTTACTTGGCGAAATGGTTTGTGTAAATGCGGAAAAAGTATAAAATATAAATTTCATGCACACAGCTTTCTTTTATTCTATTTATTCTCAAACATTTCAAGTTTCTAAATTTAGGAGGAAGCAAAACGTCTTTGTACCACACCATCAAGTTCTAAAACGATCAATGCTTTTTTAAACATAAAAATAGAGAGCGTTAGTTTAACGGAACAGCAAGAATCTATGTTCAACGCTTTGCGACGGACATACAAAAATGATTTTTGTAAATTGGCTGAGGTTCTGAATTTGCTTGTACAAAATGCACCACCAAAGTCTTGCCGAGATGTACGTTTTATTCTGAAGTATTATTAATCGTCATTTGTTTTAGAAATATTTTTTCTAATCTCTTAAATATTGCAGCTTTATGCATATTCGTTTTGCGCATCTCCATTGTCACCAAGAGCTGACCTCTCACCAAATTCACCTCCGAAAAAAAAAAAGTAATATTTTGGAATTTCAGGAAAGCCATTTCAAGATTGCATGCAGTTTTCAGTACTTTGAGTTTTCGATTTTCGTTTACTCATATTAACGAATTATCATTTCATATCAGAATGAGTGATTACAAAGTCGACAAACCATTTTATGAAAGATGCAAATACTACTACAAAGAACTTATGTTTATAATTAGTTTCGATTTTAGAATGAAACTTGGTTGACTTGGGTTAATACAAAGTATTTTCGATACATATTAACTTTATCTTAGCGGCATAAAATATATTTCAAGTCTAGTATTGTATTTTTTTTAAATAGAATTTTGATTTAAGAAATTTGAAAGATCAACATCGTACGTTTCGGGCTGTTAAATGGGCAAAAACAGAAGGTAAAGTTGGTAACACGCATGTATATGAGCCGTGTTCTCATCCCGGAATATGCTCAACAGAAAACAATTGTTCGTGTGTTAGCGTTGATAATTTGTGCACGAAGTAAATACAACATTTTTCTGTTCGTTAGAAGTTTTTAATCACTTGTGATTAGAACAATATTTTTTTGTTTAACGTAATTGTATTCTGAAAATATTTTTCTGCTGACCCCGTTGCATCGCTATATCTTTGATTTCAGATTTTGCCGCTGTGGTGAACAGTGTAAATATAGATTTCCTGGTTGTCGTTGTGCGCCGGGTTTGTGCCGGACGAAACAATGCCAGTGTTTCTATGCTAATTGGGAGTGTGATCCAGATGTCTGCAAATCATGTAAATGTGGTAAGTTGAGGCTTTTTCTAGATATTTCATTTTAACAGGTATCAAGGAACGTTACATAAAATGCAAATTTGTGACCTGATTTTTGAAGGAGTATAAATTTAATTTCGTGCAACTTTTATAGACGTCTTGGATGATCCCAATGTAGCAACCTGCAAAAATGTAGCAATGCAACGAGGTTTACAGAAAAAGTTGGTTATAGCTCCTTCACAGGTGTGTTATTTAGCAATTCCCTTCAAGATACTTTTATTTAGGATATTTTTATTTAGTATGCAATAAATATGCTGAAAATATTAAAGGTTGCTGGTTGGGGTTGCTTTGCCGGAGAAGATATTGAAAAGAACGATTTCATATCAGAGTATTGTGGTGAAGTAATAAGTCATGATGAGAGCGAAAGGAGGGGCAAAATATATGACAAATTAAAGTGCAGCTACCTTTTTGGTTTGTTTTGTCACTATTTTGGTGTTATTGCCCTTATGCATTTGGTCGCATTGATGATGAGTAAAGTTTTGTGCTACCAAATAAATTGGCACATTCATTGGTTTGTTATTTTTAGGACTGAATGATGAAATGGTAGTTGATGCGACAAGAAAGGGCAATGTTATTCGCTTTGCAAATCACTCAAAAGATCCTAATTGCATGGCAAAGGTAGATAATTTTCATCCTATGATCAGTTAATATTTGTCAAAGTTACTTTTTCGATTACTCTCTTACAATTTAACCTCACGGAAAACTGGCGTGATTTTAAGTGTTTATCGAGATATTGTAATAGTTATCGTAATATTTAGGTTTTCATGGTTAACGGTGATCACAGAATAGGTATATTTGCTCGACGACCGATTGTATCTGGTGAAGAGTTATTTTTTGATTACTCTTACAATTCGTATCAGCAGGTGCTTCATTTAATCGTTGAAGAACAAGATATTACAAAATTTCATTTCGATTTTGTTATCAAACATTTTACTCTCCTAGGAAAATTTTGTAGCTGCATTTCCTTACTATTTGTCTTGGGGATTCATAAAATAACGCTGTTACTGAAAAATTTCTTATTGGCTTTTATGTTCAGTTAAGATTTGTAATACAAGGTTTCATCACTCTCCTTCGATCAAAATATTTGATGTGGAATCAGTTTTGCCATCTTCATGTTTTTAGGTAAAATTTGTTTCAAAAGAACGTCCGAAACCATAAAATCATGCGTTCACGATTTCGTTATTCGGTCTTGTGGCGACTTCTTCAGATTGTTATGCCTCTTTCGAATAATTTGAATGGGAAGACAATTATTACGTGTCATTTTACTTCCGTTGTTTGTGAATATTTTTTGTTATAACTATGTATTTAAGCATCAGTTGTAGATTTTAATACTTTCTGAGTGTTGCTGTTCTGGAAATTAACCCTGGACCGAGCTTTGAGTTTATAATATTACCTTTATCTATTCACTATAAAGCGATAACTTTTGTGTGTTTATTGTTCTCATTTTATAGATTTTGTATCGTGTCATTATATCCAGGTTCTTACAAACATATGTATGCAGGAAGTGTTTTTAATACTGGAGCCGTTGTTTTAATCGTAAGTAACGAAATAAAAGTTTGCTTCTATCCTTTTTTTTTTAATACCAAAATTTATTTAGATTTCTTTTACCACTGGATTTTTTAACCTAATACTGCAATCATATATGTAAGAGTAAGCATCGTAGAAAGCAAGTTTTTGGTAAGTCGATGTCCAGAATTTTATGGATTTTCGTATTGCTATTCCTTCATTATTTTAGTCATACTTTTACTCACCAACTAAGGTAAGTTAAAAAATTGTTAGGAACATCTTTGTCAGTTTTATGCGATAGCTACATGTATTATCGGTATATGGTGCACATGGATCAAGAAGTTAGATAATGTAAGGAATTTATTACTCATGATAGGAATGGTTTGTTTTTATATCACATGGCAAAGAATTTAAAATTGGTTGGATTAAGAAGTGCAATGATGGTAGTTCCAGAGAGATGTAATGACTATTTTATCACGGATTAGAATGTTATATTCTGCTCCAAGTTGATTAGTTTTGAATAAGAATGCAACAAACTTATCAGGGGTGCATTAGAATTAACGGAACAGTAATGCAAACGTGTTTTGAAAAGTATGGAACTCTTATTATTTAACACGGGAATTAGACAAGACAACATTAGTTAAGGAGATAAAGTCTTCGACATGAAGCAATTAAGATAAATTAGTTGGTTATGCAAAGCAATGAATTTGCTATATTATGTGCAAAGCAAGGAATCAGTGCTATTAAACGAAGTGTGTAAACTGGTAATTTTGGATTTGCTTACTTATTGTGAACAGTTAATAGGAATCATGTATTGACTTTCCTACCGAACGTTCAGCCTCAGGACTTTTATAGTAGAAATATTGTTTGCATATTCTTTAGACAAATCGGATGTCCTGAAAATCTTATCAGCAATAAGCTTCAGTTATTTCATATATTTTCCACCTGTTAGTAAACCAACTCTTTTAAAACCTAACTTACAGCTTCAGTGGACTTATGTTAAGGTATTTATAGCTAATGCCAGTTTTTTGACAATATTCCAATACGTTTTGGTAGAATAATAGAATAAAGTCACTTCATACACACAACTTAATAATTTTTATATTTATCTGGCTACTTTGACTAATTAGCAAAAACAGTTGAAGTACATCTGTAGCAAACCAACTGAAATGAAACGCATAAGGACTAACAGTTCGTTTAAGATATTTTTTTTTCCCAAATTAGTGAATCCTTCTAGACGACAATATTTTATACTTTTTTTATTCGTTAATTTCTACTGTAGTTTAACTTACAAGTACAAATTTATGCAGAAATGTGATGCAGCGACGTTCATTCTCTAACATTCATATCAACTGAGACGAATATTCGCTAGAAACGATGGCTTATAGGATTCAATATATGCATTAAATATTCCATGTAAGCAACCCACATGAGAGGCCACTAGTATTCTGGTACTCCATTATTATTCATAATTTCAACATACTCTTATTCTCCATGAAAAGACGTAAACAATGAAACAAGTAAATTTTAGTTACACATTACCACTATTCACATTTAAAAAGAGCCAAACAAAGAAATATGAACTCATCAAATTAACTCTGTCAAAGAGAATTCGAAAAAATATCCGTTAATAATATATATTCCAGATGACTATGAGTCCATCACAATTTCCAAACAAGTTTTGACAGACACACTTCAAATTCATGGTAATTCCAGATTCATTTTACAACCATTTTTTTAGCTATACCCCATAGCTTCAATATTATCTCTCGACAAACTGTGCGTACATGGTGACTGAATATTGCAATGGAGTCTTGACCAAATTATGAACAGCATAAGACTAGCAAATTATTAGTTAATGACTGATTTAAACTTACTGAGATTAGAATTATGCACAGAAATCTGGAATATTCAGTGGTACGGACTACGAATACAACTGGTACATGAATACATGATGACAGTGGGAAACCAATAACATAGAATTTGTTATTACTATGGACGTATTTTGTTAAGTGCAATAATGCCTATATAAAAAGAATTTCAATGAAAACATAAGAAAATCAATCAGTGAAACAAGTAAGTCAGCAAATTTGGAACTGCTTGCCTGATATGTGGACACCGGTTACTTTATTTGGTCTTCAATTTATAATATGTAGCCATTGTTATAATTATTCCAAACAATCAGTATACAAGTAAAAAATCATGATCTTTGATCGCGGAAAAAACTTGCGCGAGTAAAACAGATGACGTATTTTAAGTTCAAAAAAGTGATAATGAACAGTGATTCTCCAATAAGAAAAACATCTTATAGATGCATAATCTATTAGAACAATTCGATCACAAACAATAAAAACTGTCAATATACTTTGTGTAGCAACACCTATTACAAATCTTCAACAATACCAATAATTACAAGTACTCTTGGATTATTTACTCAGTTTTTGTTACTATGAGACCAAGATGCATTAGCAACAACTAGAATCTGAAAGAACCAAGTACTCGTTCAATAAAGAAATGTTAAAAACTAACTTAACTCACTGGAAACACAAAACAGTCAAGTTTGAGAACGGTTACTTACTATTTTGTGACGGTTGAATCATTACCCTTTACTCTGCCTTCAGCTTTACATAAACTATTCAATAACACCGCTGCTATTGCAAAGGTGCTGGCATTTATGAACATGCAATACTGCAATCATGACCCTTGAGTTACTGATCGCTGTCTAAAAAATAATTTATGCATTGTCCTTCTTGGTCTCGAGAAAAACATATTCAAAAACTGAGTAAACTAAATAATTTAACGGTATCGCCTGAGGTATTCCTTATCAAGTTTAATCCGTAAAAATGTTCTAAGGATAGGGCATTGACCTAACAACTCGAACTTCATCGACTGATCAAAAAAACAAACTTAATTACTCCGTCTTTTCTGCTAATTAAAAACTTGCAATCATAAAAAAACTGACAAAATGAACGATGCTAATCTAGTGCGCATTTCCTTGCATTACGTACAAAGTCGAACAACAATGAATACTTTTCCTTTCTGATCCTCTAAACCAGAAATTTGCTTACCATCCAGAGAAACAATGCCATGCTCATACCACTAGATTAAATCATGTTCATCGACAAAGTAAGATTATAAGAACAGTGCCAAGGACCTTGAGGTCTGTAAATAAATGTATATATACAGAACACAAAAACAAAATATTTTTTACCCGAAAGACAAATAAACATAAAACATGCAACAAACATACAATAAGATGTAAGAAATTATAGAAGAAAATTTGTCATCCACTGGTAAGACAGAGTCTGTGCTAAATCAATATTTATCCTACTTACTTGATTCGCATGGTTCACATAATGAGAAACAGTAAAGCAAAAAGTCGATGCTTTCCAAAAAAATCCTATAGTTTTATGAAATTTTATTGAGTTTTGAGAAACATGCGACGCATAAAACGAAATTAGACATGAAAAAAATTGAAAGCTGTTGAGATTTTTTTTAAACGTATTAGAAATATGACTTTATTCATGACGCCGCCTTAATTTTGCTCGCTGATATCACAAACATGTTAATTTCATCAATCCACTCTGTACAATCATTTACTTCTACCGCCGCATTTTCACAGAAGGCGGACTTTCACTACTTTTCCTTCTTTTACCCAAAGCTAGATATACATCTTTTTCGCGTTCGCGCTGGTTACTAACTCTATCCTAAAATTCAAATCGTAGAAAGAAAAACTTCCTAATAGGATGAATATTTGGAAAATTCGAAATATATTCAAGCCATATATGTCATTCCCATCAATTTTACTGTTTTTCAAGTACCAGCAATATTTAAATAAAAACTAGCCTTGTCAACAATTCTACGTCGGTCTCGACTTCTAGTTCGATTCCTATGATGTCTTTCTTTTTCTGCTCGCCGCTCTTCTCTTATTCGCCTTCTTTCATCTCTCTGATGTCTTGAATGATGATGATTACGCCTAGAGTGTCGGTCGCGTTCGGACGATTCAGCCCGGCGACGAGCAGGTGAGGATCGGAACCTGAAACAGAATTACATATGAAACATTCAGCCATACATATTTTTTAAAGGTGCAAATTATTAACCAATTTTATTTGACATAAGGAACTTATGGTAAAAACACAATGCCTTACTTTCTAGGTTCTACTGGAGATCTTGAACGAGAGCGTGAACGCGAACGTGAAGTTGATGACGACGATTGTTTGGCACTACAATGGTCGTTTTCTTTTCCTCTATCGCGCTTCGAATCCATCTCTTTTGTATGTCCTTAAACCAGGATTAAATGTTTACGTTGCTTCAATTTAAAAAGGTATTTTTTTTTGTTTCAAAAATGATCAAGAACACGATTTAATACGATTTCGTTCTAAAAATCGATACTAAAGACGAACCTTCCTTGCTATTTATTTTAGTCGCACCATTCTGCCGCTTCTCTATTTCACAAGCTTTACTGACAATTTCGCGACGTCTTTTTTCTAAAACTGCTTTTGCTCTTTCAACTTCTTTGTTAGCCACTTTTTCTCCTTGTTGTGATTTTGCAAATGCACTGTTGAATTTAATGCGTATTTTATTCAATGTATCATTCAGACGAGTCCAATTTGGAGCCTAAAATATATAAAATACTTTACTACCATTGATTAAAAGTACGAAATATTTTATTAATTGATGGCAATACAGCATAACTCACTCGGATTCGGGAATAAACTTGCAGAAGCAAATAAGAAATAGTCTGTACATCCTTGTCACTTGCATCAAAGGCTTCAAACCACAAAAAAGGTTCTCGAGGTAGTGGTACAGGTTCCTGCAAATATTTGATTTTTTTGTTATGACTAAACACTGGAATAGTACAAACAAACAGAAAATCCACTGAAATGATGACTCACAGTTATAGTCCTTGCTGCCAAATGAATGCACGCACATGCTATTGTTTCAGGTCGATACCTCAAGAATATGTCTGTTCGTAATCCGTCATTCATATAACTCCTGTAACCACATGAAATTTCAAAATCTATCCGATTCTAAAAACTTAAATAACTTGATACAGTAAGAAGTTATAAACTGAGAAACGAAAACAATTAAAATTATTGTAGACAACGGCAAAAAATTATTGCGGACTAATTAAAAGTCTTAAAAGATAGTCTAGTTTCTAAAACGAAATATGATCAAGTGAAATCTTCACCAAGCCTTTTGCATGAGCTCATGATTTTCAGTAGCACCCAATGCATGTAAGTAAGTATAAATAAGTTTGTGTGGATGATTGACGTGTACGACGAATCCAAGAGCATTTAACAACTTTCGTTCCGCTTTTATGACCTGATTTTTCAGATCAATATAATTTATATCCAGAACCATTGGTGAATACCTATAAATAAGCTATTATCCAAGAATTGGCACGACGATCTGACAAATCCTTTTGAACCATTGGTACGTGAACCTAGATCCGATCCAACCTTCTGTAAGCATCGTCATCAATGCCTACCCTATACAAATAAGAATAAATTTGAAGACACCACACATCTCTGTAACACAATTTCGAATGCTGGACAACATATGCAAGCAACTGAACTTCTTCCTTTCAATAATTTTCAGTAAACCACAGTTCTCACAATATTTCATTCAATCAGTAGCAACTCTAGCAAAATATAGGCATCTTATCTGCTTTTTGTACAATATCAAGAGTTGGCAGAATCTAAAAAATAATTAAATATTACTGAACAAAATGAAACTTCGTGAAGTAATTTTGAAAAGTATCGAAAATAATCTCTGTGAAACACAAAGCTAAAAAATTTTGGATAATTTAATTTGATTATTTTCTAAAATAAAAGAATGATTTGAAATGATTTATGCAACAGATGTTAAATAATTCATGTTCATGACCAAAAAAGTATAATTGCCAGGAGACGAAAAATTATCACTATGCAGTCGAAATGAGATCTCAGATTAATCATTTACAGATATCACATTTATTTATACTGACACATGCAAAAAAAAGAAGACAGAAGAGAAAAATTTTAATTTCGGCCTCAATTATTAGAAAGTAAAAAAAGTAGAAGAAAACTGCCTAAGAAAATTCATTTCCTAAAAACAAAATGTTATCAGTAGGACAAAGAAATTGAGTTAATGTCTCTAAAAATTATTCGATAATCAACACCATTAATAGCAAATGTAAGTCATTCCTAAACCCTACTTGGTATTTGGAACTTCTGATTACTTCAAAGCACTATCTAGTTCCGTTAAGAATCAAACATATGAAAAATTTTGAGATCAGTGACAATTTTCCAACACTCATACCTCCCATACGAGCAGCTACCGTCGCTATTTTCAACATACAACAAATTATACGATGAATATTTTAGTCTTACCTGTCTTGTTCACTAATAAGTCAGCAGCCACAAACGCGGCAGATAAAGACCACATAAAATAAAGAGCCAAGTCGTATGTCCTCAAAGAACTAAAAATGGAGTATTTCAATTAATAAAAAAAGAGAAATTTGCAATGCTTTAATTTATAAAATCAAAAAGCATACTTTAGAAAATTTTCAGAACATAATATAATTACGGTTAGACTGGTAGTTTTGCGTAGTGGGTACCAAAGTTCTGTATTTTAAAAATATAAGAAACATATTGAGTACATCTTGTAACGAGACAGGACATGTAGCTGTAAATCTAATAGACGTTTTGAGTATTGCTAGAAAGTCACCAAAATTATCTAAATAAAATACATTCCAGATTTAAGAATCGAGGCAATTCGATCTAAAATTTAGACATCTAATAAGAAGCTAACTGGAGAGCATTTAGCAAATGAATACGTTGTCTTTCCATCTTGACAATTAAAGAGAGTTTCATACAGATATAAAAATCTGGCCCACAAAGTTTTAGTAACAAATCACATACTGAAAACCATTGCATTCTTAAAAAGCAAATAAATTCTAATCATATTTCAGTCACCACTTGTCTGATGAGAATAGCATAATTCTAGATTAACAAAAAAAAAAAAAA